CTCTTCTAGAAAGCCCTTTTCTTTCTCCAGCTCATTTGTCTCAGCTACTCTCTTTTGTTTTTGGACACGTTTCGATATCGTTTGTTGTTGTGTTTTTCATTTGTCATTTCCGATAGTTATGTGTGTGTTTGTGTTTTTTTAAAAAGCTTAATTGGATGTTTGTTGTTTGTTATTAAACTTACTGGGAGTCTCCTGGTGAATATGATCCGGAGATAGGTTTCCCTTTTCACATGTAATGCTCAGCAGGTGTCGTTGGCTCTTGTTTCAGTGGTAGAATATAATGGGGTATGCTTATAACTTGGCTATATGGCCACAATTGCTGTCTCTTCTTGGGTAACATAGGGAGAAAAGGCTTCCACCTCAAGGAAAGATGTGTGATCAAAAGAACCAAAAACAGAAGTAATATAAATGCAGAGACAAATACCACCACTTTGGAATAGAAATGAAGCTGTGGTCGACTGTCCTGAGCTACACAGTCAGTGTGTGTGTAAGGTAGAACCCTCCAGCAGTGGGTGAGGGTGTGTCTGCTCGCTCAGGCACCTCCTCTAGTCACTATAGTAGAGGTGCACAGGTAGATACTGAGAAGTTAATGGGAGAAGGATTGTCCACTGTTTTTGTCTCTGCGTGTGCACAGTGCAATTCTTGAGATGGTTGAGTCCTTTTATGTTGGGGTTTTACAGGTTGTATTATAAAGGTCCTGCACACGGAACCCAGGTAGCACAGCAGTCATGAATGGGGCCATGAACTGCAAGGTCGGCAGCTCGAAACCACCAGCCACTCCGTGGGAGAAAAGCAAGGCACTCCACTCCCGCAAAGACCTATAGCCCTGGAAACCCCGCACAGGGTCACCTGGAGTCAGAACTGACTCCCAAGAGGCGCAGCCACCAAGGGTCTAGCTCAAATCAATCTTAGGGCTGTGTCTTCGTGGCTGACATCATTAGTGGCTACCAAGCTCCCTCTCTGTGTACTGTGGGAGAACTGTGGGGTCAGGGCTGTTTTTTGGGGGTGCACATCCACCTGCCTGGCGTCCTGGCTGAGTGAAGAAGGTGCTCCAGGGAAGATGGGGAGAAATGCAAGTATCTATGTGCCGCTTTTAGAGCAGGTTCACTGAGCCAGAATGGCCGTAGTCCTGCCATCTAAACTCTGCCAGGGCAGGGTAGACACAGAGGAAGTCCCATCTCCCGACTCCTAACTTGCAGTATTTTCCTTAATATTGTGACTTTTTCACTTGTGAGTGCCGGAAACTGACATCTTGGACCTTATGCTAGATCCGGAGCTCTGGAGTTACTCTGTGAGCGCTTCTTGCATGAGATCTCAGTCCCCTCTCTAGCACAGAGATTTCCTTAACCTGACTTTCTCCACTGCCACAGAAACCATAAGTTCATTTGATTTGATCTTGATGCTAAGATTGTTCTCCTTTAAATGTCCCTAGGATTGGGTGTTTGGACTTCACATCTAGTAAATAATATATCTATTTTCAGTTCTTAATGTTGAGACTAGGAGTCCTGAGTGGTGCAAATAAGTGCCACTTAAGCGCAAAGGTTGGAAGTTCAAATTAATTTAGAAGGAAGGCCTGGTGATTTTATAAAAGAACACAGTTATTGAAAACCCTATGGAGTGCAGTTCCACTCTGAAACACATGGGGTCACTATGAATCTGAATTGACTTAACAGCAACTAGGGGAACAAATTAGTTAATATTAAGCAGAAATAGGTCTCCTCCTCCCTTTCCTACTAGACCCTTATCAGAGAATACAGGTAGATCAACTCAGGGAAAAACAAAACGTCCTGCTCACCTCCAGACCCAAAGGTGAAGGAAAAGGGGAAACTTACTAATGCAGGGAAAGGGAAGGAAGGTTGAGGTGAAGTATGGTATACACAGAGGGAATGGCTGGCATCCAAGGAGGCCTGGGTGTACCTTCTCTACTCAAAGAGGGATACGGGTTCTAGCAGCATCTCTGACCATGAATCCGACCATGAACCTGTCCAGTTGCATCAGGCCGTCTAGAGGAGGGCCAGAGATTTCCCTCCTCTTGGAGCCACATGGCTGCAGCCACAGCTCTTAGAACTGTGCATATGAACACAAGAAACCCTCTAGTCCTTTTAGAGCAAACTCACACTGAAACCCAATGACATGTCAAATAATAATCCAAATACAGATATGCATATAAATGGGAAACTATTGTGATAAATTGTATCATCTTCCTCATACCTGAAGACCTACAGGCTTCAGTGAATTCAGGTAATAGTATAATGACAGTGTGGTCGTGAACGACTTGGTACAACTTTTCTAGCCAGTCTTTGTAATTCTTACCAAATGACTAGACTGTGTTGTCAGTTCCCATTCATAGCGATCCAATGTAGGGTTTTGAGAATGGTTGATGTGTTCGAATTGCTGACCTGTGGCTAACAGTCCAGTGCTTATCCTACAGCACCACACCAGGGCTCAAATGACTGGATGTTGTTGTTGTGTGCCATTGAATTGGTTCCAACTCATAGTGATCCTGTATAGGATTTCCAAGGAGCAGCTGGTGGAGTTGAATGCCGTCCTTGCAGTTAGCAGTCTAGTGCTTATCCTACAGCACCACACCTGGACTCCAAAATGACTGAGTAGGACTATGCAAATATGATGTGTTTGAGGTCTACCAAGGGGATTGGATAGTTTGTTAATAATGTGAAAAAAGGTACATTGTACCTTTGTACCATGGTGGGACCATAGAAACAGGGTGTGTGGAACCTACTTGTCATCCTGTTTGGTTTAAAACGGGCCATCCAGAAGCTGATCTCATTACTATCAAGAAAGGGGAGCCAGGAGCAGAGTGTGTCTGTTGGACCCCAAGGTCCCTGAACCTCCGGGATCCAGGAGACAGAGCTGTGACAATAGAGAAATAGCTCCACAGAGCAGCCCCTTCCTGTGTGCTCTCAGTTGGCTGGAGAGGAGCAGCGAGCAGCTTTTCCACTTGGATCTTGTGAAGCACAGCCAGAATGCTCCTTAGAAATTAAAGTGGTGAGAAGTCTTCATTTCACATACTTGGAACATATTCTCAGGAGGGACCAGTCGCTGGTGAAGGACTTGGTAAAGTGGAGGGTCATTGAAAAAGAGGAAGATCCTCTAGGAGATGGATTGGACACAGTAGCAGCCACAGTGGACTCAAATATATCAACATTTTTGAGGATGGCACAGGACCAGGCAGTGTTTCATTAGATAGGGCCGCTATGAGTCAGAACTGGCTTCATGGCCCCTAAACGCACCACCAGCTTATTTCATATAAGTGGGATCACACGACATGTGGTCTTCTGTGTCTGATTTCTTTCACTGACCATCCGTTTGTAAGGTTCATCCATGTGATTGCTTGTATCAGTACTTTATTTGGTCAAATCCTATTCCATTGTATGGGCAGGACACATTTTTGTTTATTTCTTTGCCGGTTAGTGGACATTGGGTTTGTTTCCAATTCTTTGACATTGTGAATAATACTTCTATAGATATTCATGTGATTTAACGTGACCTGCAAGGTCCCGGATGGGTTCTGTACCAGACTCTTTCTTCCCACTGCAATTCCAAGCATTATCTTCCCTGCCTCTCATCTCTGGGCCTTGTCACCTTCTATTTCCTCTGCTTAGAATTCCTCCACTCCCACACACATGCCAGCAGTCCCCTCCTCAGGGAATCCTTCGTGGTCAGAACCCACATTTGTCTACAGTGAGTCACATTTGTGACAGACCTTACCTGTCTAATGATCTGCTGTCTCCTAACACTTAACACTGTCCCTGGTACATAGTAAGTTCTCAATAAAGAACCTCTGCTTGGAGGGAAGGAATGAGGGAAGGAGAGCAGAGGGACAGACAGCAGGAGACCAGTCTCTGTTGGCTTGACTCAGGGCCTGTGTCCGTGTGGCCCCATGATGTTGTCCACTGTGGTATCCTTGTGAGTCACCAGCCCCTGGTAGGTAGGGCTTTCCTGGACTTTGCCATCCCTCGCAGGTGTGACTTTGAGGGACACCACCTATGAGCTGCTGCCTTCAGAGACCAACCCTGACTGCAGCACCAACCCAGAGGACAGCGAGACGTCCACCAGGTGACTCCCCGATCCCTTCTCTCTTCTTGGCTGCAGGGTGTGCGTCCCTATCATGCTCAGGGGGTGCTTAGGTGCAGTTGACTCCCATGGAGGTGGGACTTGGACTGGATCCTCTATGCCAGGCATACAAGTCATTTTGAAGATCTGCTAGGCACCCGTGGAAAGCCAGAAGGTGCCTTCCGAGACTCTGAGGGGGGCAGTTTCTGAGTACCCACTTCCTTTTCCCATCTCCATAGTCAGTCCTAACTCTGGCTTCCCTTCCAGCAGTACCGCCTCCACCCTGATGTCCCCACTAGATGCCCAGACCAATCAGAGGCATGGAGGGAGCACCACTCATACCTGGGAGGATCCCTCCATCCCAACCAGTACAGTCATTGCTGTCTCCTCTATGGGAAAGCCCATTCAAGATGCAGGTAATAATTGCTTCTCATTAAGCAGGGACTTCCTTCCAGGAGATCTTCATCTAAGGCACTGGCCTCCACCATGTCTTGACAGAATAGGGGGAATAATAAGGTTGACCTATAGATTTATGGGTTTTTGAGTTGAGGTTGTGGTTTGGCTCTGCCATTTGCTAGTGGTGCTTGTCGAATTCTTTTGTGCAAGATTGGATTCACAACGTCATCCCTGCTGTCCGTAGCTGTTGCTCAGAAACTGCATGCTGAGTGGAAGCCTGGCCCTGAGCTGATTGCTGAATTCCTTGTTGTTGTTGTTAAGTGCCGTCGAGTCGGTTCTGACCCATAGCGACCCTAGATAGGGTTTCCGAGGCTGTAAATCTTTACGGGAGCAGAAAGCTTCATCTTTCTTCCGCAGAACCACTGGTAGTTTCGAACTGCTGACCTTGAGGTTTGCAGCCGACTCATAACCACTATGCTACCGCTGAATTCCTTAGACCCTTGGTTTTCTCACCTGTAAATCTGTAGTAGCGTAATCCAGGCAGGGCTGGGCTGCCCAGGGTTGTAAGTAGTGTGGGCTGACCTAGTGAGTTGCTATAAATGTTGAAGGCCAGTTGTCATCCAGGTGATTCTGAGTCACGGGGACCTCACGTGTGAGAGAGTAGAACTGTGCTACATAGCTTTTCCAATGTAGAGTCAGGTCTTTCTCCCAAGAGTGTGTTTTAGCATCTACACCACCCAGGGACTCCACTAGAAATGTTGTTGTTGTTGTGTGTGACATTGAGTCAATTCCAGCTAATAGTGACCTTGGAGACCTGAGTAGAACTACCTCATAGGGTTTCCAGGAGTCCTGGTGTAGCCCTGTGGGATAATGCATTAGGCGTCAAGGTTGGTTTGAATCACAAGGTCAATTCAAACTCACCAGCTGCTCCTTCAAAACCCTGTACAGTGTCGCTATGAGTTGGAACCAACTTGACGGCACTTAACAACACCAATCTTTGAAGAAACCACATCTTTTCACTCCGTGGGTTTGATCTTTCAGTTAGCATCCGAGCTCTTAAGCACCGGTGGTGCTCCTTTCCAGGACTGTTAAACCCACTGCCATCAGGCCAATTTGGACTCAAAGTGACCTCAAGACTGCAAATCGCCACAACAGCAGAGAGTCTCATCTTTCTCCATTTGAGCAGCTGGTGTGTTTGAACTGCCTACCTTACAGTTAGCAGCTCAGTAACTAATTAAATATCAGGAGTTCTGGTGTGGTGCTGTAGGATAAGCATTCGACTGCAAGGTTAGTTTGAACAGCAAGGTCAGCGGTTCAAACTCACCAGCTGCTCCTCGGAAACCCTATACAGGGTTGGAACCAATTCAACAGCGCTTCACAATTCATTTTAGGACTGGCAATTCTAGTTGCTGCCACTAGGTGGTAGTAATGTCCTAGGCCAGAACTGTAGTTCTAAAATTGCAGTAGTGGACTGGCTGCATCCGCACCACCTGGGGCTGGTTTACTGGAGTCCATTCTGACTCATCCTGACCCGGCATGTGCAGAATAAAACTACTCTGTAGGGTTTTCAAGGCTGTGACAGGTCAGAATCAGACCACCACTCCGGGTTTTGGAGGCACTTTTGCTGTGGAGTTAGTTTCAACTTGTTAGAAAAGCAGATTTATTGGTCTTTACCTCAGACTTAAACTCCTGGTGTGGTGTTGTAGGGTCATCACTGGACTGCGAAGCACAAGGTCAGCAGTTCAAACCCACCAGCTGCTCCTTAGAAACCCTAAACAGAATCGCTCTGTGTTGGAACTGACTTGATGGCACATAACAATACCTTACTGAACTGGAATCTGCATTTTAACAGCTCTCCAGGGAATTCATAAGTATATTCAAGCTGAGAAGCACTTATGTGGTACATGTTATTTTTCTAATATCTAAAGGTTGGCTTTAAATATAATAACTGATCTTTAATCTTTAGAGCTTAAAATACAATATATGATCTTTGGTGGTAGTGGTGGTTATGTGGAGTAGGTTTCTACTCATAGCGACCCTGTAAAGGGTTTCTAACGTTGTAAATCTTAAAAGGAGCAGAAAACCTCATCCTTCTCCCACAGAGTGTTTGGTAGTTTCAAACTGCTGCCCTTGCAGTTAGCAACCTGACCCGTAACCACTGTGCTACCAGAGCTTTCTATATGATCGTCACAAATGACAAAAAAGGGAAATTAAGATCACGCCTGGCTTGGACTGAGTCCTGACTTTGAGCTACCCTCAAGGTGACCTTGGGTAAAGTACTTAACTTTCCTGAGTCTCAGATTTCGCCATTTTAAAGTGGAGGAAGTCATGATACCTACCTGTGGAGTCCTGGTGTGGCGCAGTAGAATAAACACCGGATTACTAACCGCAAGGTGATGATTCGAACCTACCAGCTGCTCCTCAGAAACCCTATGCTATGACTTGAAACCAACACAATGGCATTTAACAGCAACAACAAATGGTTCCTACAGTATAGGGTTGTTGATTTGTTCACTCTGGGACACTGAGTGTGTTTGTGTGTGGAACACATCATGTGCCTGCCCTCATGGAGTTTACGGTCAGACCATTGACTCATCCACCTGTCCTCATCGCTCTGCCTTCCCGACTCTGAACTTGGCCACAGTGAGTGCTGCCGGCTACCAGGGCTGTACCCCACCCTGCACCTTCCTCCCCAATCCCCGGTTTTATTCTTTCTGACAATTCCTTCTGGCTTCTTGACTCCTCAAACTCACCAGCTGCTCCTCAGAAACCCTATACAGGATTGCTGTGGGTCAGAACCGACTCAATGGCACTTAACAACAACAACAGCAGGGATATTTAGAAGCACTCCTGGTGTGGTGCTATAGGATAAGCACTGGACTGTGTTCCACAAGGTTGGTGGTTCAAACTCACCAGCTGCTCCTCAGAAACCCTATACAGGGTTGCTGGGTCAGAACGAACTCAATGGCACTTAACAACAAGGGGTATCTGGAAAGGAGCCTGGTAGGATGGTAGATTCCAAGCTGGGCTGCTAACCACAAGGTCAGCAGTTTGAATCTACCAGTTGCTTCATGGGAGAAAGATGAGGCTTTCTGCTCCCATAAAGATTTACAGCCTCAGAAATTCCATACAGGTTCTCTATGAGTCGGAACTGACTTGGTGGCAGCAACCCCCCCCCCCCCCCCCGGATATTTGGAAGGAACCCTGGTAGTGTAGTGAGTTATATGTTGGGCTGCTAACCACAGAGTTAGTTGTTTGAATCCATCAGGCACTCCAAGGGAAAAAGATGAGGCTTTTTGCTCCCATAAAGATGTCTAGCCTCAGACATCTGACACAGGGTCACTATGAGTCAGAACTGAGTCAGTGACACATAGCCACCACTATAAGGGATATTTAGAGTCCCTGGGTGGTGCATACAGTTAACATGTTTGCTGAACTAAAGAAAGCTTGGTTTGAAACGATCTGCTTCAGAAAACTCAGTCACTGAAAACCTAACTGAGCACACAGTTCTCCTCTAACCTCACGGGTTATCACGAGTCAGAATCAACCCAATGGCAACAGTCCCTGGGTAGGGTAAAGTGTTAGCACTCCACTGCTAACTTGAAGATAGGAGGTTTGAACTCACCCAGTGGAACTTCTTCCGTAAAGATTACAGACAAGACAATCCTGTGGCGCACACTTCTACTCTGTAACACTGGGGGGCGCCATGAGTCAGAACTGACTTGATGACAGCAGGTTTCTTTTGGGTCTTGCTTTAGGCATTGTTTGCTCTCTCAGAAAGGTTTTGTCAGTCCTGGTGGGCTGCTTGGAGCCAGGTGAGGGGCAGGTGGGTGAGGACTGGTCCAATACAGGGCTGGGTTTTTGTCCTGGCTTGGGAAAGGATTGGGTACTGTCAGTCCTAGGGAATCCGGGTTTGGGCTGTCCTGTGTGTTTGCAGCGAGGCGCAGGGCAGAGCTTGCAAGGGCCCCTCTGTGTTTCAGGAGCTGTGCTCTTCTGGGTGACCATGGTGCTAGTCCTGCTCGCTGTCTTCGGCACCTTCTTCCTTTGCCACTGGAGGGCCTGCAGGAAGGGGATCCGACAGAGTAAGTGGATGTGTGTGGGGGCCTGGGGAGGACAGGAGGAGGGAGAGTCTCAGCCCGGCCACCTTTAGCTCTTCTTCCGATGTCTTTCCAGAGCTCCACCTGTGCTTCCCAGGCCAGCCCTTCCAACCCAAGCCGGATCCTGTGGGTAAGTGTCCAGAGGGGCACAAAGCCATGCTAGGCCCTGGGTTTGGGCTTAGGAGCCTTAGCTTCTCCTCCATTGGTCTGGCCTTCCAACCTCATCTGTAATGGGGTAACAGGTGGGTGGGTGGAGACTTCGTGACTTGCTATGTGCAGAGCTGTTTGGATGGGGTGCTTGTGTGAAGGTTTAGTAATATACCTTTCATTTTTTCCACTGTAGTAACTGCCAGGAGAGGGGTAGTCCTGAACACCTCCCTCTCTGCCTCCCCTCTCCCTTTCTCCCCCCCCATGCTTCTTCCCTGTCCTTTCCCCCTCTCCCTCCCTCCTACCTGCCCTCGCTCTTCCTCCCCTCTCCTTTCCCACCCCTCTTCTAGTGATGTCCCAGGCAGCAGAGGGGCATAGAGAGTGGAGGGCAGCTGACAGGCTGGAGTCCTGCTTCTGCCAGGACTTACAAGCTGTACGGCTTTGGCTGAGTTGGTGCTCCCCTCTGTAAAATGGGGAGAGTGGCACCTACTTCCCATGGTTGGCAGGTAGGGCCTTCCATGGTGCCTGTCCACAGACAGGAAGAGAGGCCGCTGTATGAGGACAGGTCATCTATGCCTGGATCTGTTCTCTCACCAGGAATCCCAGGCCTTCCTAAAGTCCAGGCTGTTTGAGGCCCTCCCTGGTTCTTGCTCTCTGACCTCTGCCCAGCCTCTAGGCCTGCTCTCCTGGGCAGCAGTTGGGTTTTGGTCATCTGGCACCAGCGTCTCTTCTTCTCAGTGCAAATCAGAGCCAGGACTTTTAGAAATCCCACAAGTACTGCTTGATTGCCTACTGTATGCTGGGCCCTGAACATGAAGGAAGGAGGAACAGGAACAGTCTGGGACCTGTATACATTCTGCTTTATAAGTCCCCCAGAGAGAATCTCCCTGCCTCCTCCTGGGACCCCCAGAGAACTTTTGTTTCTTAAGGAGCCAGCCCTGAAAGGTGGATGACCAGCAGGGCCACATAACCAGACCCTGGAGGCCACTTGACCAGCCTCAGTTTGTAGAAGGCTCTGTTCTGTCTTACTCCCAAGTTAGCCCCTATCCCAAGACACCTCCCCACCTCCAAATCCCCAAGGCCCTTGAGAGTCTTGCAGTCCTCAGCCTCAGGACTATGGCATAGAAACATAGCTGTTCTAAGACATGTTTTGAATTTGATATGTTTCAAAACCAGGAACTTGTGTTCCCTTTGCAAGGGGGGGTTTTTGTGTTACGACAGTTTCAATCCTTTTTCCATGAGCTGTCAGGCTCAGTGTCTCATTGAAACCTGCATTTGCTTTCTTGACATTTTTCTAGTTTGAGAGTTTCCATTGCTGTCAGTTTATTTTATTTTATTTTTTTTCTTCAAACCTTCGTGGTAGCAGTTTTGTTGAAAAAGAAAAGAAAGAGGAGGAATGCATAGAAAACACCTTTTCCCTTAAGAAGCCAGACCAGGAATGGGGGAGAGTTTCAATGATGGCCTCCCTTGGAGTCCATGCTGGCCCTCTGGCTCCCTGGTGGTCCCTGGGTTCTGGGCTGAGATGGAGGCGAAGCCAGGATAAACACACAGGGTACAGGAGGAGGACCGATGGAGTGAACTGGCGCTCTGTCCCTGGAGCCCCTGTGTTCATCTGTTGGCTCTTGCTTCTGTTCAGATCATTTTCAGTGAACACCTCCTAGGTGCAGGATGCCAGCTGGGAGCCTGCACTGACCTTGCTCTCCAAGCTGTCAGTCTTGTTTCAATTCCTGTCACTTTCTGGTGGGAACTGCTATGTGCAGAATCGTGGAGTTTTCAAGACTGACCTTTTGGGACAGACCATCAGGCCTTTCTTCTGAGGGTACTCTGGATGCACTCAAACCACCAACCGCTCAGCTCGTAGTTGGGAGCTTAACTATTTGTGCCACCAGCGACTCTCCTGCCACACATTCTGTTGTTGTGTGCCGCTCAGTTGGTTGCCACTCATAGCGACCCCATGTGACAGAGTAGAACTGCTGCCCTCAGAGGGTTTTCTAGCATGTCTTTACAGGAAGCAGCTCTGGTGGTAGCAGCTAACAAAAAGGTCCGTGGTTTGAAAGGTTGGGAGACCGATGTGGTCGTCTGTGTCCATGAAGATTGTTATTGTTGTTGTTAAGTGCCGTTGAGCCAATTCGTAGAGACCCTGTCTAGGGTTTCCGAGGAGCAGCTGGCGAGGTTGAAACCGACGTTGTAGTCTAGTGCATTAACCCGCAGGGTCACAGCAGGGCTCACCATAAAGATTCCAGCCTTGGAAGCCCTGTGGGGGCAGTGTCTGTTCCATTCTGTTTTGTTCTACAAGAGGGTGTGAGTGGGAATTGACTTGATGATAATGGTTATTCCTATGGCTTCAGGTCTTCTCATCTGGGGAGGGGGAGTCGCTGGTTGGTTAGTTTAGCGGCCAAACACTAAATTGTTACACCACCAGAACTACCCACAGCCATGGAATTGAGTCCAACTCAGAGAGGCCTTGTCTAGAGTTTCTGAGGCTGTTGTAAATCTTCACGGAGTAAAAATCCCCATCTTTCTCCCGCAGAGTGGCTGGTGGGTTAGCAGCCCAGCGCTTATCCTACAGTGCCGCCACCAGGGATCCTTTATGCATGATCTGCGTTCCTGTCGATTCTAACTCAACTGTTGTCAATTCCAACCTAGAGCAATCTTTTAGGCCAGAGGAGAATGGCTCCACAGGGTTTCTGACACGAAATCTTCATTGCAGTCGACTGCTTCATCTTACACTCTTGGAGTGGTGGGTGGGTTTGAACCACTGACCTCTCAGCAGTCCAATGTTTAACCTACTGCACCAGTAAGCAAGTCGGATGGGAGTGTATGCCCCACCTTTCCATCCCCCAGAGCTCTAAGGCTTGGGAGTCTCTTGGTTTTTAAGCAGGGCTTAGTAGAAGCTCACCCAGGAGCTCTGGAATTGATTTGACTTCATTGCCTGTGTCCTTGGTGGCAGAACTTAGTGACACACTTATATTATCCCATTTATTCCTCCCAACATCCTTGGGAGGCAGGTTCTCTTAATGTCCCATTTCACCAATGAGGTGAAGCCACTTGTCTAAGGGCACTTGGTTAATAACTAATAGAACTAAGGTTTTGTTGCTACTGAGATTTTAGTTTTAAAAGGATTTCTCTACCTCAGCACTCTTTATGTTTGGGACCAGATAATGATTTGTGTGGGAACTGTTCTCTGCGTTGTGGGATGTTTAGCAACCTCTAGTGTAATGGTTATGAATTGGGCTCGGAACGTCAAGGTCAGCAGTTGGAAACTACCAGCTCTTCTGTGGGAGAAAGATGAGGCTTTCTGCTCCCGTAAAGAGTTCCAGCCTTGGAAAACCCTCTATAGGGTCTCTATGAGTCAGAACCGACTCCACAGCACACCACCACCACCACCACCTACCAGATAGAGGAGAGCTCTGGTAACGTAGTGATTAAGAGTCGGGCTGCTAACTTCAAGGTCAGCAGTTTGAAACTACCAGCTGTTCCTCCGGAGAAAGACACGGCCTTCTGCTCCCATAAAGATTTACAGCCTTGGAAACCCAATACAAGTTCACTATGAGTCAGAACCGATTCCATGGCACAAAACCAACCAAGCCCCATATGATAAACACTGAACTGAGAACAACAAGGTCCGAAGTCTAAGCCCGCCAGTTGTTCTGTGGGAGAAAAATCAGGTTCTCTGCCTCTTTGAAGATAATAAAGCCTTGGAAACCCTATGCAGGGTCACTATGAGTTGGAACCAACTCCATGGCACATCACCACTTACTCAGCGAGGTCCTGGTGTGTCGCTGTGGGTTAATGCACTGGACTGCAAAGTCAGTTTGAACTGCATGGTCAGCAGTTCAAGCTCACTAGCTGCTCCTTGGAGACTCTATACAGGGTTGCTATGGGTTGGAACCAACTTGACAACACTTAACAACAACAACCTATCAGATACCAATAACATCTCCCCAGTTGTGATAAACCCATGTGCCCCCCAGACATCACCACATAGCCCATGAGTCTAGATTCTTTAAATCTTCATTTTAATGGGCACTGGAGTCATTATTTTGCCTTTGCTTCCAGATAGGTTTAACTTGAAAACATTTTTTATTGCTGTGAAAAAAATTTCAAATTTACAGGAAAATCCTAAATCCTGTAAAAAGAACTTATTTTTTTCCTGAACCATATGAACCTCAGGGACTGGCTTGCCTTATGACCCCTGAATACTTTCATGTGTGCTTCAGATAAACAAAGACATATATATATATATAAATGTTTTTATTGTGAATTGAGTAAAAATTTACAGGGCAGAGCATCAGTTTTACATTCAACAAATCATACACCTTGTTTCATTACAATGATTATAATCCCCTCCATGTGCCACCAGTTAACAAAATTTTTCTCTATTCATTTTAGCTTTTTAAAAAAATAAATAAACACTCACACATATATAATAATTTACACCACCAATGGACACATTCTGAAAGTCTGCCTCCTGGCCGCCAGCTCTCAGTCCCTCTCTTCCCATGAGTCTAGAGTCCTCAGTTGCTCCCTCTTTCCATGTCCCCATCTCTGCCTCCATCTCTGGTATCCCTGCTTCTCTGGATAAGGTCTCGCATTCCGTTTGTGCTCTTCTCCCTGTATGGTCCTAAGGTCCTCTGTTTCTGGACTGTAAGATTAACTAGTCCCCTGTTTTTGTTACAAAACTTCTACCTTGACAACTGTGACAGTCACAATTAGTCATGATAACAATAACTCTATTGAATTATAAGAATCTTATTCTCATCTCTTTTTTTAACTATATAACTTTCATTTTATTGAAAGTACCTTGCATTCATGATGGATGCTGTCTGGGTTTTGCCACACATTTTAATGTTAAAGGTTAAATCATTTTTAACATGCAAATAGTGTAAATAGTTTTTCCCCCATATGGGAACACTCATTATAAAAAGATGACATACTACATAAGTGTCTTTTTTAATTGAAAAGCTAACAAACTGTCTAGTT